AATTCTCTGTCAGGTTGCTTTCTTCGTACATGGCAAATCCCACGAAGAACGCAAGGAATGCCTTAAAGAAGCTGGCATCGTACTTACAGCTGACAAGTGGCACCGTCATGAAGTAGAATGTCGTCAGTGCAAGATGCTCAGTTTTCACAAGGTGGCAACATCTTGATGTTGAAGGTCAGCCAACTCAGCGAGACTATGTTGTTGAATTGTTCTCAGACTCGGATTGGGCAAGTTCGAAGACCACGAAGCGATCCACACCTTCAGGTTTGATGTTCCTGAATAGACACTGCATCCATAGCCACAGCAGGGCACAGGCCAGTATTGCCTTGAGCTCTATGGAGGCAGAAGTTTTGGCAGCTACTGGACTGCTAGTTGAAGGGATCGCAATCAAGCAAGCCCTACAGTTCTTGCTGAGGTGCAGTCTGTGTATGGCGAACAACACTACACTTGAGATGAAACTGTTCCTCGATAGCACCAGTGCACAAGCCTTCTTTCAGAGGCTAGGACCAGGAAGAGCGAGCGTGAAAGAGATGAAGATGTTGAAGAAGAAGCTAAGCCAGAGAGGCATGTGAGAAGAGAGGAAGAACGCATGATGATGCCGCCTGATGAGTGTGACAACGAAGAAGGGGAGGTGTGTGTAGAAGATGAAAATGAAGGTGAAGAGCAAGAAGCGCAAAGGAGGCCAATGAGTGTGTCAGACATGGTAGACGATGAGCTTCTGGCACAAGGAAGAGAGCTTCGAAGACAAGCCGCTTCGTCTTCAGATGGGCCAGCAAACTCATGCTACCTGGTTCAGAACTCGTGATGAGGAAATGGGGATTGAGAGGAATCCCTGCAGATGTCACAAATTTCCATGCTTGGAGAAGTGACTTGAGGTGCATGGATTTGGGACTGGAAGTTGACTTAGCCCGCATCCTCTATGCCTTGGAAAACCACTTGAAGCAATTGCAGGCAATGCGCAGCCCTCTGTACCACAGAGACTTCAAGAGGGTGAGAAAGACTTTGAACTACCTGCAGGATCTGGCCTTGTTGTGCCAAAGGCCAGAGCCACAAGGGTACATGTCTGCGGCCATTACCTTCATGAAATGGGAGGAGAGCGGAAGGTCAGACACTTTTTTTCAGAGAGATGATCTCACAGAGGTTGGCAACGAAGATAAGCAAAGAGAAGAGGATGATGAAGACTTTGCAACAGGAGATGAAGATAACAAGAGGTGAAGGTGGAACAGAGAATGAATAAGTCGCAGTGGATGAGGTGACAACAGACGAGGAAAAAGAAGCAGAAGTAGACAGTGAAGAGGAAGGCCGGAGGAGACAGCCACGCAAGGAGTCCAGAGGCTCAGAGTGCAGCGACTACGAACAGTGGGTTGAAGACAACTTGTTGCTGCCAGATCCGATGAAGAGCCATTGGACTACAACCCAGCACCAGGGTCAACGGCTGCGGCTTTGAGAATCATCAGCCCACGACCGCGAGACAGTGCTGGAAGGTTGATAGAGAGAGATGAAGAAGTGGAAGGTTAAGTTCGACGAATGGAACCCAAACACTTTCACAGGAGATGATCCCTTGCTCTTCTCATCCTGGACCCTTCAAGTTGAACCCTGACTGAGTTTCGGGGATGCAAGATTCATTGATTTGTTGTCAACGACTGAACAAGGGAGCAGGGAACCAGATCACACGGTGCACATGCCAGAGCAGGCGCCATTGGCCAACAAATTCTTTGCGGTGTTGGGTTCATACCTTTGTGGAAGATGCGTGCAGCGCAAGACGGCTTCAGGAAGCCGCGACCTTCGTCCGCCTTCTGGGCCAGGTGCGCGTTAGGCGGTGGGCTGCCCTCCTTGCTTTCGCGGCCCAACGCGCCTTCCTCGCCTCCCTTCTCACGCTTCCCGGCCGCTGCGGCCAACGGTGATGGCGAGGCCCTGTGCTCTGCCTTCTTCCCCGCGGAGGGTGCCCAGCCTAGCCGCCTTGGCCCGCGCGGCTGGCCCTGCGAGGAACAAGGTGCGGGGGAAAACACTTTTGTCCCAGATGTGCAGAGAACTTCCCCCAACAACAAGGCAGAGATCGCGTGCTCTAGTCCAAACCTTCTGCCAGTATCCCAACTTCAACAAAATTCCCATGCTGGAAAGCAGCCTCCAGTATGAGCAGACGAGCAAAGAGACCTACCCCTGCGACTTGAAGACAGCGACTTTAACTAGATGTCCACCAAAAAAACTCGGAGAGCATTTGCAACTTTCTTTGGGCGACCGATCAACATATGCTGATGTTCGAGAAGCACAATTAGCCTACGAAAAGACAACCAACCATTTTTCACAGGAGCAGATCCTCAAGCCCCAGATCCAAGCAGAGCTAGCGCAGACAACGGCTTGGCGCCAATGCAGGTGGATCGAGTTCAAGACAAAAGAAAAGGCGAAGGAAAGCAGAAAGGTAAAGGCAGTTGGTGGAACTTCAAAAGCAAGTGGTTCAACACAGAGCACCATAGCATACCTTCACTCGACCTACAGGCCTACACAACCACAGCCTACAGTGAGACGAGCCTGGGACATTGGAAACTCAGAGTTCGGCGGCGATGTGAGCATGATTCAGATCACGGATCATGAGACCGAGTACTACACAATGTCATTGATGGCGGCCCCTTGACGACATCTGGACTTCAGCAACATGGGGTGATTTCCATCAATGGTCCAAACACCAGGGTTAACATCGATGATCACGGACATTTCATGTCTGGTGAACTTCATTCCCATGAGCGACCCCATCGACGAGTTCGAGTAGTGCTTGAGGAGATCCCAGAAGAGGAACTTGAGACAATCATCCTTGACAGTGGATAAGGTGTGAACTTGCTTCCCACGAAGTGACGAAGTTCCAAAAGGAGGACAAAGATTTTGGTAACCAACACAAACTACAAGACTGCCGAGGAAGACGGTAGCAGGAAGTCGAAAAACAGAGATCGAGGTGATGGACACCAATGGCGAGGTGTTCGCACTTCGCCACAGGTTCCTGGTTGGTGAAGTGAGAAGTTGCTTGCTTAACCTTTGCCAACTGTTGAAGAGTGGTTGGACTTTGAACCATGACGAGCACCAGAAGAACAAACTCCTGCTCTTTCAACCTGGAAGCAGTCACAGACGCTAAGTGGGCAGGATGCAAAGTGTCGAGAAAGTCAACGACTTCATATACATGATTTTCATGACTGGCAATCCTTTGATTTCCTCGTGCAATCTATAAAAATTGATAGCATTGTCAAGTGCAGAGTCAGAACTATACGCTAGCCGTAGCGGCATTGCAGAGCTGCTGCACGTCGGTGGCTTGATGAGGTTCCTGATTGGAGAAGACATCCAGATGACAGCGTACAGTGACAGCTCACCTGAGGAGGAGAACAACCTTTCTGGAATGATGAAGATGGAGACACGGAGATGAGTGACAAAGAGAACACCCAAGAGCCCAATGACGCAAGGAGCAATGAAGGCGGTGAACGCCAAGGTGAGAGATGAACTTTTTGATGAAGGTGGCTACAGTCATACTACAGTCAATAAATCTTTTCGGCCACCGGATTCAGTTCGAGAGAAATGTGTGGACGCACTAAACACATGCATCCACAAGGCAGGGTGTCAGAGTACGACGCACCCAATCATGACAGCAGCGAACATGTATATAGAATTGTTCACAAACCTTTCAACTGAAGTTGCTTTTCTGCCCAAGAAAAAAGGCCGCAGCCATGTTTTGACAAAGCCCTGTACTCCACAGCCCTTCAGGCCGAACTTGCAAGAGTATTGTGCGCTGGAAATCGAAAGCCGGCGGAGAGGAGGTCCTGGCGCTCGGGGCCCTCCGCCCCGAGCCGCTTCCCTGTGCGCCCCTGAGCTGGCTTTGCACATAGCGTGCGTAGAGCGCGCGGGAGAGTGGCCCGCGCGAGGGCAGGGGAAAAACGTGTTCAATTTGTCCTACCACCTCAGCCACCACATTGGTATCATCCATCCGACAATGCAACAAAACAACCCGCAACGAGCCTTACGGAGTTTGTTTGTGGAAAGGTGTCATCCTCACGTCAACATGTAAACTTGCGTCTTCGTATCCGCAAACTCTCCGGAGTTTCAGCACGTGCAACCCAAACAGAAAACATGGAGCATAACCATGCGGCCCACCGCCGAACCCAGAGCAATAAGGGTCCAAAAGGATCTGCTTGTAGCCAGGCCCTTCGCAGGTCCTCAACTGCAAACCGCCACATTTGGGATACATTGTTCTGCAACCCAGCATTTTGACAAAGTTCCCTGGCCGGGTCCCATCATGGTATGGGCAAATTTAACGTGCGCAAAGCGCCTGTTGGTTGCACAGGCGTCAATATTGTGACTGAAGAATGCATGGGGTTTTCATGTGTGTTTTCATTTCAGTCGGGCCCGAATGTTATCATGAGCGCAATGTTGCAGTCCATCGGCAAGTAATTCTTGCGACTGCATTTGCCATTCCGGGGCTTTGTTACTTGGAAGGTGCACGTACTCACTAGTGCAACATTCTTGTAGATGCAATGTTTTTTTGACAAAAATCCGTGTTTGTCCAGGTTTTCACAAAATGATTCTAGCCCATACTTTGGTAGAGGTATACGCACATGTGGGTTCTTGATGGGAGGTATGGCTGCGAAGTGAAAATGGTACTTTGTTGACTTGGACACGCTTCTAGCTGCGGTTCGGCAGCTTCACATGCCAAAACAACATTGAGGCCAGTGATGAATGACAAAGACACCAGCTCAAAAAATCTAAGTTGTAAGTTGTAAGGTTCTACTTTTGGGAGTCACTCTGGCCAACTGCTTGGTCAGTCTGACAAGGCAATCTCCCGGCTTAATTGCAATGCTTTGAGGGAACACAATGCCAACATTGTCATGACATGCTGCAGCAACTTGGGTTTCGCCCACGCAGCGGATGCAATGGTTGTTTGGGGCTGTGGGTGACGATGTCACGCGCTGCAAGGGCCTGGTTGCCTTCAGTGAGGTGGGAGCTGCCCGGCTGAGCTTGAGTGCATGGCTTTGAAGAGGCGGGGGGTGCCAGAAGTGGACGTGCAAGCAAAAACCATGAGCGGCGTCCTGCGGCAACCGTTGGCAGGTGGGCTGTTCGGCAGATCTCTGGATTGCTATCCGATTATTTGGAGGGCATCACAGAGCAGAACTTGCAGGCATCTTTTCGGCTTGTTGAAAACATGTTGAAACCATTCTTCTGACGACATTGGCTTTAGTTATTGGTTTTCATCCACATGCTTGTATGCGAAATGCACAGAACTTCCAATTCATGCGTGATTTGGTGTGACAAAGGCCTCCTTGAGTTTGGAAGTGGGCGAGGCTGGACGCACTAAGCATGTGGTAATCTCATCTCATTCATTGCTTGTTTTGTAGCAGGTAGAGATACGGCACGCCACAGCCACAGTACAGGGGCAGGTCGCCCGACCGTTGCGCAGAAATCTTGTCCCAATGTTCTTTGTTTCTTTATTGCAATGGACTCCTAGGTCCGTATTCATTCGGAACTTTTACACGACCAACGCCTTCAACTACTCAGCAGCGATGTCAGCGTTGATGCCTCAGTCAACGGTCAAAACCCGACATTGACCTGTCGTGCATGGCAGGATCGGCTGCATCAAGTTTGTGTGGAAACGGATTCATGGATTCACGTCTAACACGTATTTGTCGTACCACACCACCACAGACCTCTCGCGCAGTCAAAAAGGCGTGTGCAAAAACACATTCAACACGAGGCCCGTTCGTTCCTGGCACTTCCCTCGAAGCTCCACTTCTCGCGTGTTCCGCGAGCTTCCAAATGAGGTGTCAGCCAGGATTCCTTGGCGAAATCTGGGTTCCGAAGCAACGGTGTGGGACCTCTCCTACCGGAGACCCGACCGACAGATGCATGAATTCTCGGCCTCAGCTGGTTGTGAAACTCTGAGGTCATCACTGTGCGAGACGTATGGGTCGAGGTGAAGCCGGAAGAGCCTGGAAGTGTTGAGGCCAAAGAAGCGGCAGAGGAGTTGCAGAGGCCGCAACTATGTATACATGTTCGTAGAATTGAAGATTTGAATGGGTGTGTGTGTGTGTGTTTGGAAAAGTTGAGACACACATGCAGAAATGTTGGGTCTGTCCTGCTATCTGTAACAGTCAGTAAACAGTTATCACTATTTTTGAACAAGGTCCTTACTAACCATCATCATCCACTGTTACAGGTATTAGGAAAGACCCAACAGAAATGCATGAAAATCGGCATGCATTCGTCACACGGTCTTAAGGAGTGACTCATTTGTTTTTGTAAACAGGTGGCGTTCAAGGCGGCGAAGAAAAGTAGAGGCCCTGCCTTTCACATCACCCCTCGTGAAGAAACAGCCTGAATGTCAAACAAGTGCTTGGCAAAGGATGTGAATGAATGCAGGTTCAGATGGAAAGAGCCAGAGCTGTTGCGGACCAAGAGGAGGACAACCAGCGTGGACGCCAGATGATGCGTATGCCGCCATACGACAGGGGCTAACGGGCATTTGGGATTCCTTTGAGCCACTTGGTTCATTGTCATTGAGGCCTCGGCGCGGCATGGCTGCGAGGTTTGGCCATGTGTTCTCCTTACCTGGTGCTGATTGATTGTGGAAACGTCGGCTTTATCTCTATGTTTGATGCAGCTTTGTTTCGAGGCAGCTTTGCGGCAGTTGCAGGCCGTTCTCACCGCGATGACGGATCATGAAGACGGTGTAAAGGTTCAATGAAACCCACCCGTCGCAGGTGCAGGTTGATGGTTTGAGAGGCCGTGTGCATCCAAAGGCTGGGTTTTGCATGCAGTGACTTCATGCTTCCAACTTCAAGCCCTGAAGGCACCAGCCTACCCTGTCATGGAACTCTCGATTCTACGGCTGGCTCTGCATGAGGGGCATGCAAGCCCGGAACGATTAAATGAAGTCCCCAAAGAAGCGCAAGTCCCAGAAGCTTGGAAATTGTCGTGAGCAACAAAGCAAGTGTGAGTGGACCTGGCTGGGCGACTGACAGGTTCAAAGACACCCAGCTTCTTTGGACAAGATTCTGGAGTTGGTCCTTCCTGCCTGCCATTTTGGCCAGAATGCAGCAGTTGGGACTTGCCTTTTTCGGGTTCACAAATCACAGAGGCCAGAAACTAGTCCCCTTGCGGATCCTAGGGAATCTTCAGGTTGCCGATGCCAAAAATGAAACGTCCAAGACCTGTCCACTCCTCGAACCCCCCACCGAGGGTGCCTACCTTCCGCCAGGCCGGCCTTTGCGCTCAGCTTTCGAATCCGACAGGCTTGGCTTTCCAACACCGGAGTGACAAGGGGCAAACTCGCGCAAGAAGCGTATATAGGAGGTGTTAAATGACACATTTGCTTTTGCTTTGTCAAATGAGGAAGTTTCCACTTAGGTGGGAGAAATCTAAAGCTGTGAGGTGTCTGACGTTGCGTGGGAAAAATCTTGCCAGGTACTGCAGCATCTGTGTGGCCAGCTCTTCGGTTTGTTCCTCAAGCTTGGAGAGCCACCGCTCGGTTCGCCCGTTTTGAGCCATGCCATTGAGTTTTCATTGCTTCTGAGATTGCGGACATATTTGTTGCCATCCAGGCTTAATGTCAAAAGTCTAGAAACGCCTTGCGAAATTGGCAAAGGCAGTTCGTAGGCACCTTTTGCAACCGCAGAAGGGAGCGTCGGCCTTGTGGTGCTAATGGCATTGGCATTGCCGTCGCAGGCCCAGCGATAGGGTGTACCGAACCCATGAACGAGTGACATGACAGCGACTGTTGGGGCAAAGTCTGTGTTTCTATTAGACATCATCCAAGACTCCAAGAGAGCGACGTGCTCCGATGTGCCCCACGTCCGCCAGGTGCACGTTGGGGCTGCTCCAGATCGATCGCTGGCTGCCGACGCGCAAAGATCAAGACCCTCCTCCCGGGTCTCACGTGTGCAAGGCTTCTTGGGGAGTTCGTCCTGTTGTGGGGATCTTGACGGGGGGCTTACAGGGGCAAGAGGGCCTCATGTGCTATTTGTTTGTTCTTGTTTCTCCAACTTTCTACCAAAAGGTGTGGGGGAATGACTGAATTGCGACATGTTGCGACACATGTGCGGAGATGGGTGTGTTAAAGGCAACTTGGTTGCATTTGCCCAACACTGCATTTCTTCCGCGGACAAGTTAAATCTCGCTCCAGTATTTTTTTTGCAAACGTTTCGTTTATATAATTCGATTGCAGTTTCCACTTTCCACTTGCAATTGCCAGGCACGATGAGCTTGCAGAGCGCCATGCTAGGTCTGTCTTTCGCTGCCGCCTCCAGCCGCCGGCGAGACATGCGCACGTCTTGCCAGTCGAGTCGGCGCCAGGTGCGGTGCAAGAATCTCTCAACCAGAAGGTGTCTACAGGTTGAGTTTAGGGTACATACATCCGATAGATTTCGTTGGCTGCAGATAGCTTTCAGGTTGTCCTTGTCCTTGGGTCAATTCTTTGTGTCAGGTTCTGACTCTCGGACCATCCCTGACCCTGGCGACATTTGCCGGATCGGCCGGAGCTGCTGGCAGTGCGCCCACAGTCATGAAGAAAGTTGCTGATGGTGTGCACATTTTTGACCAAGCCTATGGCATCCCTGGCTTGGAAGTTGGCCCAGCCCTTAAGTTTCTTCAGGGCGCTTAAAATGTTTGTCACCACGAACAACCAGCAAGAAAAATCAAAAAAGATACAACAAATCTAAAAAACACACATGAGGTGACTGAAACAATGACTGGACTTGTCTTTGAGCGCCCTACACCGCAAAGTGTCAACCGCAAGAATGTTCATTGCTTTCCCGATGTTTTCCAACGCCCCTAAGGTGCCAACATTCCCATTCGGATGACGGTGCTCAGCCTGGAGGGTGGTGGATATTTGGTGTACAACCCTTGCAACCCAACAGCAGTGCCTTGGCCGCTCCACGGTCCGCGGGGCTTTCAGGGGCGGCCTCACGCTGTGTCTCCGGTTGAGGAATGTATGGAGATGCTTCGAGGCGCTGGCCTCACCGATGTGCGTTACATCGTTCCTTGGCCGTGCGTTACCATCGTTGGAAGAAAGGCATGGCAGGCAGCTTCCGTGATTTCTTTGCCGGTCAAGCCTGCCCCTTGAATGCAAGGTGTGTGGCACCGTTGCTATTGAGCATAAGTACTATGCCCCGCAATGGGCCAAATTGTTTCCAAAAGCAGAGGTGGGATTCGGTGAAGCTGGAGTTTGATCAATTTTGGTTTAGATGCTTGGGCAACTGATTGGCAGCAGGCAGCCGATGATTCGATGATGTGTTTTGAAAAGGTGAGACTTCCTCTTGGCCAGGTCTGGGTAAGCCCACGGACATTTAGCTGGCCTGTGGACTTTGGCCCTTATGCCTCTTTGCTCAATCCAACTGCCATTGGCAGAGTGCAGAGTGAGTCCAGACGAGTCGGCCTTCAACACGAGCCCCCGATCATTTCTTTTTGTTTTCCTGCCCGGTTTTGATCAGTTCTTACCGGGGTGTTGGTTCGCGTCAGAGCCCGTACCGTCATCGTTTGGGTTCGCTTCTCAGGTTCCCTTTGGGGGGTTTGCCCCGGGAACGACGCTTCAGAAGGTGCCCAAGGATTCGTCCTTGGCACCCTGGCGTTCGAAGGCCAAGCGTCAATCGAACGAGCCGAGTTCTGAGTCGCTCGGTGTCGTTTTGAGTTCGGCTTTTGAAGCGCGAAAGTTCTGCTTTGCAGGGCGTTGACCACCTCCAGCTCACGGTGGATTATGCCCCACGGACGGTGTTCGAAGAAACAATGCTCTTCCATGAGCCTTCGAACACCTTTGTTTGCACGGACGCTTGGCCACACAGGTCTTGTCTTGCAGGTGGCAACTCGAAAGTCGAGCACAGACTCGGGCGCTTGGACCAAGGACATGCTCATTGGCTTGTCGGATGAGCCGCCGGAAATCCTCACACGCTCGCCCTACAAAGAGGGTCTCCTATACTTCGCTCGGAATGAGCCGCCGGAGAAGGCGCGGCTGAAAGTGTTTGGTGGAGTGAAACGCTGCGCAGCTACTCCAGTGGTGGTTTTAGTGCTTTTGGCACGTGAAAGGTGGATGTGGAGAGCCGACAGGTCTTGAAGGATGGATACCAAAAGTGACCTGGAGAGACCTCAACGGCATTTTTGGTGAAGTGATGGAATCTCGCAACAGAGACAGAGAGAGAGAGAGAGAAAGAACGAAAGAACGAAAGAAAGAAAGAACGAACGAAAGAAAGAAAGAAAGACAGAAAGAAAGAAAGAAAGCAAGGAAGAAAGAAAGAAAGCAAGCAAGCAAGCAAGAAAGAAAGAAAGAAAGGAATAAAGAGAGAGAGAGAGAGAAGAGCTGATGAATCATCTCAGGTCAACCCTCCTCTTGAACAACATCAATCCACGATCCCTGCTGTCAGTAGCCGCCGGCCGGGCGCTTCCCCAACGCGTTTTGCTTCAGCATTTGTGTATTTTCAACAAAAATGTCGTCAGGTGATTTGACGGTTCCAGATGAGCTGTCACTAGCTTCAAAGGCTCCACAGCCGGAGCTCGGCTACTTTGGCTGGTATCCGTGCTCTGGAGCAGCAACAAGACAAACAGAAACAGAATTATCGTGGTTTTGTGTGAAGCTGTAGCCTTTGCAGCCATCCAAGACTTAAGACTTGTCTCCAAGTCTTTCAGCCGTGCTCAAGGTGCAATTGGCAGGATAAAGATTCACCCTGTGCAAAACTCGACGACCGCGTCCTTCCGAACAAGGACGCGAAAGGCTTTGAGTGCCGCCCAGGCGCTGCACACGTCCGTGTAGACGCTACCTAGCACTCCAGTTTCTATCATGGGGCCACCACACTGGACTTTGCCAAGGCAACAGTCTTATCATGATCTCTGAACTGAACTTTGCATTGCATGTCCTCATGTCCTCAACTCTGCCCGTCTACCAGTCGGCCTGTCTTGTTCACATTCTCGGTTCAAGTCCAGAAATAGATTCTTTCTTGCCTTGGCTCGTAGCAAGTCAAGGAAACAGCACCTCACTCACCACCTACTAACGGCTGCTTGGCCGCTTCCCTTCAGCTAGATCCTACGCAGGTGTCGTTTGAATTGCTTGAGGCACTGTAGGCCCTAGCCACGGAAAGCAAGTGCCTAAAGGTCCGTCAAAGTAACTACTGTAAAGGTTGGACTTTTTGCGTTGCCTTTGCTCTGCCCAGTTATATATATATATTATATATTTTAGAAGCGAGAAGCTACTAGGAACAAGTGCATCGTTTCTAGTAACAAGTGCCTTACTAGTAGTAACAAGAAGCTATTAGAAACTATTACTTTTTCTACATGTTTGTTCATATGCCGAAGGTAGATATTGGTTTCCGACCTTCCACCCTTTCCCGCCCTCCCGGCGCTCCCCTCCTCCGCAGGCTGGCGTGGAGAGTGGGAGCGCTTGGCGGCTGGAGTGGAGGGCACTGGCTTCCAGGTGCCCAGCTTCGTGGCAGAGCTCCAGATCAGCCGAGACCCCGAGACGCTTCTCCGCCGGCGATTTGGGGGAGGGGATTGGGGAGTATGGAGGATCGGGAAGGATCGAGGGTTTGGGAAGTGGAGAGTCGGATAGGAGTTTGGGTGTTTGTCCGCCTGTTTTTTGGGCTTCCGATATTTCTCAAAAGGAGACTGCAGTCATGAAAGGCTTGAGTCTGGGCGGTCCTTTTTGCGTGACCGTATCCATTCTTTTGGGTGTCTTGTCCCGTATGAAGAGAGGATATGACTCAGCTCCTGGGGGCACCAAACATAAATCAACAAGAGGTTCTGAAGCAGTGTTTTTTCAAAGGCCGGGCATGTCTCTCGTTGGGCCTGGGCTGGTGCGATTTCAGATGAGAGAGCTTTCCTTGCTCCAGGCTAGAGAGTTTTGCCCGAGAGATCCCGCGCCGCTGGCCCAAAATCCAGCGCGTGATCTCATCTCATTTCACCTCACCTCTGCCGGTTACTTTGGCCGCACTTTGGTTGCTTGTGTTTTGGTAATCTGTTTGTTGAGAGGGGTTGGCCGTGGCAGGGGTCTGTGAAAGCTGGTCAGCTGGCAAGCAGAAAGCTCGATTTTGAGGCACTTTTTGTCCCCGCCACCGAAATCAGGCGACCAGTGAGAAGGTCAGCAAAGCTATCCTGTCCGTGTGCCGCGGTCCCCCAGGGCCAGCAGCAAGAACAGCGGACCTGAGTGCAATCTTGAACTTCAGAGATTATTTAGAACAAAATGCCCCGTGGCGAAACAGTGGGGTCGGAATCATTCTTTCGAACACTAGACATGTTCTTCCAGTTGCTTGAGTGGAGCCAGAGACCATGAAAGGTGTCAGTGTTAACTGCTCCAAGGACTTAATCTACAAACCGCAAAAGGGCCGAGGACGATGGACGGCATGAGAAGAGAGCTTCTTCCAACCTTTTTTCCTCACAGCATTTAGAGTGTCGTGGCACACTTGGAGGCTCCCAAGGGCATCCAAAGTGTTGGCACATCTATTTTTTGAAGCAGCTGGCAAGCGCTACTTACGATCTTTTACTGATACTGATGCTGTCACATGCGGGGCATCAGCAA